TTCTGTTTATGCGTATGTTTCTGTATTGACGATGACATCCCAAATGTTTTAAAATGAATAAAAATACATTTCTTCGGAAATGCTTTGATCAGACATTTATCTTGTTTTTCTGGGAACAAATTCCGCAACATATTTCTTTAAAAGATACTCTGATTTTCAAAATAAAGCATAAACAAATCGGTCTTTTCTGGCCGTGAAAATGGTGATGTCATAGTTGGTATCATAGCATTAGTTTAAGCGAACTAGGAATAAAGATTTATTTCTAGACTTAAACTTAGAATGCTAAGAAATGATCGTGAGGAGTGTGTCTAATAAATTTAGGTAATACACCTGAATAGACACAAACACTAGCTTATTTAGGGAAGATGCCTAACATGTTTTTTTGTGCTAAATGATTTGTGATGCTTTATGATGCTATCGTTTGGTTTGATCTATGGTCTGTTGCCGACCGGATCTGGACATTTTATGTGTTCAGATTTCTAAATGTTTAATTACGTTATTAGAACTGGCATGTAACTTTTCGGTGTAATAAGGAGGAATATGCATCAAAACCTTCCTCTATCTATATTCTCATTCTGATATGTTGAACGCATGCTTCCGTGAATGTAACATCATGGTGAAGGCTCGTAGCGAGTTGAGTAAACAGAGGAGACGAGAAAGATTACAATAGTGAATGACACTTATCAGAAGATATCATAAGAGAGGTATCTTGCCTTTAGAATGCATCTAATAAATAATATACCTAGTATGGGAGAAGTACACTTTCAATTAGTAGAAAGAAAGAGATTTTGGTATAATCCAGGAAGTTATCCTTTCGTCTGGCATTTCCACCACAAACCGAGTGGAAGCAGAATTGATGATTGAAGATACGTATGGAAGAAGTCCTAGTAGAGTCTAGAGAAATTTTTATAATTATTTGGACACATTCGTGTGTGTTAAATGACTATGTGAAATTCTTGTATGGTGACTTGGAAAACTGTGAGACAATACTTGGGACGAGTATGAGTAGGTGTGAATGGTAGTAGAGGCCTATACTACCGGAAGCACAGGACTCACACTTGGATCAGGGAAAGTCACTTGGTTACCAAGAAGCTAGTAATTGATTTCGTATTATTCAAGTATGTCGTTACCATCGTTTCGGTAGTGACTGAGAAGATAATTGTTATTTCGACCCACCCTAGAGGTCATATCAAATCGAGTCCGACTAAGACAAGTATGTTACATGGTTCAGAGAACCAAGATCGATGTAGCATATGACTTAAGGCAGAAGGTTTAAGTGAAATCGAAGCAATCAATAGAAGTATCGTGAATCGCCGTTAAAGTAAGAAGCTTGTAGCTAGAAGTACTACATGCTAGAATGTAATTATATCACATTAGAACATGAAGGAAGGCGTAGTATGTTCTGGAATTTGACTCTAAAAAGACTTGAGTCTAAGCGTTGCATCATACGATGAGAGGTCATTAGAATGTGACCCATCGGTCCATTGTGGTAATCAAAGAACTTATCTCAAGTTTGTTAAGAAGAAGAAGGAGTTCCTATAAGGATCTAGATTGTGACTAAAAGGTCATGACTGAAAGTCTAACATAATAAAGAGAGCGGGTGCAAGATCGAGCATTGCCTACATTCAAGAAGACCAAGAGTTAGATACTAATTCGAAGGAGCATAGAATTTATGATTATTACCTAGGATGAAAAGATAACGTACAGAGTCATTATACAACCCTGTTTCGTTGATGATTTCGGGACGTAATCATCCTAAGGGGGAGATAATTGTAACGCCTGCAGATTCGGGCAAGTCAATTTAGAGACAATAAGCGTCAAAAAATGACTTTTTGATGAAAGATTATTTAGAATGAATAATCTTGAATAATTTGTAGCAAAAGTCACAAGGGTTCCTTACATATAAAGAACGCCGAAATCCGAGTTATAACGAAGAAGTTATGACCCTTCGAAGTTTTACGGATAAACCGGCACGGCACCGCGTAACGTAAAAAGTGATATTTTGATAAAATTATTTTTAACCTTAGCGATCTAAACAAAAGTTGTATTATACGTTAAACCGAGAGCGTACATAAAAAGAACGTCCAAATCGGTCTTCGTATGAGGTAGTTACGATTTTCTAAGATTTAGCATAACAGTGCACAACCCGAAAATTCGAATTTTAGATCGGTCGATTTTTAGCCAAAATAATCTAAACGAGAAATGAAGATATCGTTAATAGGAGTTAAACGATAAAAATACATTCGAAAACGGAGCTCGTATGCGAAAGATATGGATGAAGCTTAGTCTCTACTCTTCACACGCGGCGAATTCGATACAGTTTTGTAAAGCTGAGATAGAATAAGAATTAGCCGATGGGGTCTAAAGAAAGTTGTAGTACTCGTAAATACCAACGCGTGGATATAAATAACGTCGAGAATAGAGCTCGTATGTCAAAGATATGGACGAAACTTAGTCTATAATCTTCAAGCGCGACGAATTCGATACAGTTTTGTAAATATGATATAAAATGAGAATTAGCCAACGGGGTCTAAATGAAAGTTGTAGTACTTATAAATACTAACGCGTGGATATAAAGAACGTAGAAAACGAAGCTCGTACGCGGAAGATACGGACGAAACTTAGGGCCTACTCTACGATAAAACCTTATAAATAAGAGATGAACTCTTCATATTTTCTTCACACCATAAGCCTTTCTTTCTCTCTCTAACTTCTCTCTAGACTCCCTAAACCCCCTAAAGCCTAGGAAACTTCCCTAGCACTAGAAGAAATCCCCGGAGCGCACGAAGGCTCCAAGAAAAAGAGTTTTTTGGCTCAGAAGCTCTGCTCCAACGGAGCCTGGTTTTTTAATAAAACCCGCTGTTAGTGAGATATGTCTACCATATTTTAAATATAGCTTATATTTAATATTAGTTATATTATTATGAACTTATAATAAATATTTAGGCTAGTATTATGACTTATATAAGTGTCGTTATAATATTTATTTTAACTACTCACGGTACCGGGAATCCGGTTTGAAGGGCCGTCTGGGTTGTTGGATTTCGGAAGTGCTTTAATGTCAAAATGGTCATGCCCTCCGGTGTTTAATGTCTGGCCCCTGTCTGTACATAGTGGTTGGAAAATATTGTTTAACGCTTATATAATAATAATAATAATAATAATAATAATAATAATAATAATAATAATAATAATAATAATAATAATAATATGACTAATAATTAGTCCTAGTAAATATTAGACTAAAATCTAGTGGTAATAATATTAGGTTTCATCGAAGGAAATTACATTATTAAGAAGCGAAGCGCTGTCCGAGTTTGGAGTCATCACTTTTACAAGTGAGTGCATAGTTACTTTCATCTTACACATAGATATGAAGTATTTTATACAAATTACGTGCTATGTGTGCATATAACCCGTATACTTGCTATCTATGTTGGATGAACGATTTTATACATGTTTTAAACTATTTAAACAGTATATGTACTTTATATCTACGAATATGTTGGGTAAAACATGGGTAGATGAATGATGAGAGATGAAAAATGATATGAGTGAACATTGGCAGCTATAGACTTAGTGCCTAATAAATAACATCGGCAGCTATGGACTTAGTGCCTATTGAATAAACGTTGGTAGCTATAGACTTAGTACCTGTTAGATAAACGTTGGTAGTTATGGACTTAGTACATGTTAGATAAACGTTGGTAGTTATGGACTTAGTACCTATTAGATAAACACTGGTAGCTATGGATTTAGTACCCGATGAATGAACTTTAGCAGCTATGGAATTAGTGCTTTACAAACGAGCATTGGCAGCTATGGACTTAGTGCCTGTTATATAAACCCTGGAAGCAATGAACTTCGAAATGAACGAATGCATGATAGATGATTCTTAGGGTAGATCCTTAAGAGTAATGACGATAATGGGGATGGGTAATTGGGTTGATTGTTTGATGTTTAAACATAATAATTATATTATTGTGGGTTGAAAACCCTATGTACTCACCAGGTTTCCCAACCTGACCCACTCAAACTTATTTGTATCATAGGTGTCGATATGAAGCTACTTTACACTGAGGGATTTAAAAAAGATATATATCACTAGTGTAAATGAATGTAAGTTCTGTTTATGCTTATGTTTATGTATTGACGATGACATCCCAAATGTTTTAAAATGAATAAAAATACATTTATTCGGAAATGCTTTGATAACGCATTTATCATGTTTTTCTGGGAACAAATTCCGCAACATATTTCTTTAAAATATACTTTGATTTTCAAAATAAAGCATAAACAAATTGGTTTTTTCTGGTCGTGAAAATGGGGATGTCACAAGGTTTGTGTGTTATTTTGAGAAGTGAAAGGGTTCCTGCCTGTCATTTTCAAAGGTGTTCGATACTCGGATCCTAACTAGGTTAGATACATCGGGTTTGGTTTGGGTTCGCACCCAACTTGAACCGTTAACCCATCATATATATTGAAGATTGTAGGGCGAAGAAGAGTAGTTTAGCTCATTTTTCATTTTTTTCTCACAAATATTATCTCATCCTTTCAATTGTGTTTAGGGTTTTTAGGGTTACGTCTTCAAGTTCTTGAGTCTATAATTCTACTTTTGTACTTATTGTGATCGTATTCATAATCGTTTGAGTGTGAGTGTGATTGTAATAAGGTTTCTTGTTTAAGTCTATATAAACCAACCAGTTTTTAAAATAATAAAAGAGAATTCTAGATGTTGGAATCATTTACGTTTTTGTACACATAACAATCAAGTATCATTACGTTGCCATTTTTTATAACTAATTATTTATGTTACAAAATAGGACACTAAACTTATTGTTACATGCTATTCAGGACATCGCAATATTCTTGTTGACATGTGATGCCTTGTTTTGTGCTCTATATGGAAGAAAAAAAATAGTTTGTTGTCAAAATTGAATATATATATATATATATATATATATATATATATAATATATATATATATATAACGTTTTATGTTTATTTAAACTTATATATTTAGCGTATGTATAACCTCTAATCACCTATTAGGTGACCCGTACGAAAAAAGTTTAAAACTATGTTACAAATAGTAAAAAAAAAGTAAAAATAAAAGATAAAACTCTTAATTATTTAGCAAAGGTTCCCCTTTCATATGTTGCCATTGATTCACTCTATTTCTTGCTTGCTCCACCTGTAAATTTTACAAACACAGTTACACTATTCACAATAAACAAAGAAAATAACTGAAATAATCCACAATTTTATATTATTAAAAATTTCACCTCTTTCTTCCAATCCGTTCGAAAAGTAACCCATAGCAAAATAGTTGTTTGCATTGTCATACCCCCCACCAGACCCGACCATATTCCCTACATTTTATATGCAATAAACATTTTAATATATATAATATATATATATATATATATATATATATATATATAATACATCATCCAAATGATTGATATTTACTGTTATATGAATAACAAATTTTTGTATATACCTTAGAACCAAAGTTAAACTTGAATGCCAACAAAACACCAAGTGGAACTCCAACCACATAATAGCATCCAACATTCACATACGCGACAAATGCTTGCCATCCACATCCAACCGCAACCCCTATTTATATATTTTCATTTTCACTTTAACTTATCATTTACACTGCATTTGTTATGCGAGGAGACTGCACCTGACTAGACAAACTTGCTAGAACTATTTTTTTATTATCTGAGAGGACATTCATATCTTTTCCACACAGATATCGAGTGAGTCCCTGTCCCATCTTGTTCCACCTTTTTGGTGGGACAAAAATTAACATCAGTCACACAGTCAAACGCAGTACAACCAGTTCAGTACCTGAGAGGACTGGTTGAATGCCATTGAGGAGGATGGAAACCGCAAGGAGAGGAGTAAGTTCAGAGACGGCATTCGCGACAGTTTCTCCTTCGGTAAAAGCATAACTTATGACGTGTCGTGTAGCTAAGAGAATGATAGCACATATCAAAGCCACCACAAAAGAGCTCAGTGTCACCACTACAACAGCAAATGCTGCTGATTTTGGATGTCCTGCACCTAATTCATTGCTAACTCTCACACTGTCATAAATATACATATTTTAGGAAAGACATGGACACAACGCGTAACAAACACAAACAGTAAAGACCTTCTGAGTTAAAAAAATAAATTATGGACCAAACACGTAAATTAACCTAAACCATAGGGACCATTCGTGCAATTTACTCTAAATTAATTAAACGAGCACTCACAGCATCGGTCCAATGATTCAAATCCTCCGAACTTTTTGGGCCCGGTTTCAGACCAACCGGCGGTCCAACCCGGTCCATATATGAATGTTTAATTTGAACTTTGAAGTTTGGATCATAATCATACAATCATACCTTGCAGCAGCATTAAACCCGATTGAAATCATCAAAACCCATCCAAGAATCGTTCCACAAACAGCCAATGAATCCAATGCAATTTCCGGATTCGGAAGCAAACCGGCGATCAAAATCAGAATCTGAAAATACCACGTCTCCAGACACAACATCACCGCCGACGCCGTCGACAGCTTCAGAAACGCCCAAAGTCCCGAAAACGCCTGCACACTAAACCCACTCCATGTCTCCTTAGTCCGATCACTCTTCACGATATACACAAATTGCGCCACCACAATCGCCCACCATGAAAAACTCAAAACCAGGGAGGCGCCCAATAACCCCCAACCCCATATGTACAGTGCGACATAGGTGAAGATAACGTGAACGACAAGCATTGCGGCGGCGATGTAGGCGCTAGGGTTGACGATGCTTTGGGCTTGGAGGAATTTTTGTATTGGGAAATTGGCCGCGTAGGCGAAGATCTGGGGGATGAGGCCGTAGATGAAGAGGGAGGCTGCGGCGGCGATTTCTTTGGATTGGCCGATTAAGAGGAGGAGGGATTTGGAGAAGATGTAGAGAAACATGAGGGGAATGGCTGTCGCCATTAAAAGGATTGTGGATCTTTGGAGGTAAATGCCGAGCATTTCGAATTGTTGGGCTCCGTATGCTTGTCCGCAGAGTGTCTCCACTGCACTTCCCATTCCAAGCTACACAAAATAGATACAAAGAATTAGCATTTGTTTAGGAGAAATTAAATATCTTCCTTAATAATAACCAAAAAACCATTATATTTTATTATTTTTTATAGTTTAACCGTCAAATTTTTATTTGTGCTAAAAAAAATTATTTGTTTTTAGAAAAAGTTCTACCGCAACCACTATGACCTGCATTTATGTTAAAAAAAAACTAACTTTTATTTTGTGTTAGAAAAACATTTATAAATTGGTGTTTAAACCGAACTTTTTAAAAATATATAGTGTTTTTTCGTAATTAAAATTGCTTCTAATATGTAACAGTGACCACACTTAAATATTTTATCAATAATTGGTGGTTTTTTGTAACTTATTAAAAATTAAAGGTTAAACCGAACTTTTGGAAAAATACAGTGTTTTTTTCGCTTTAGCAAAATGCTTTTAGTATTATTATACTTTTATTTGTTTATTATATTCTTTTAATGTATCTGATTATACTCATACCAATATGATAAATATAGGTATTTTTTAGGCTATAATTGGATAGATTTATAAAATGTAGTCTCGTACTAAGAAATAAAAGAAAAAAAAAACTAAATACAAAGCTATAATTTAAGCATGTTGAAGTTAATGTCCATGAAAACAAGAAGAAGACATCAACTAAATTTTGTTAGATATAATTTGTATTTCATAAGATATAGACAGAAAAGTTAATTTTATCGATAAGCTACATCTCCATTACCTTATCAAAAAGTTGTTTTATAACAATGTTTTAAAAATCAGTTTTTTAATTGAATCGGTTCGGTGACCGGTTACCGTTCGACTGCCGTTTCAACCAAGAATTTCCGTATATCTGGCGGTGGTGTGCGTTAGTCTTCGAATTATGTACACTTTGAAAAATGTTCATTTTGATTCGGAAATAAATTTTTTTTAATGGTCTAAATGAAATCAAACAAGTCAAATAAACCAGTTCAAATGGTTTTTTTACGGATTCTATCACATCAGTTCAACCCGATTTTTAAAGAAACCGTCCGTTTGAACAAACCTAGTCTAGAAATTGGCATAAAATCGATCGTTATTGAACTGCTCTCGTTGCCGGTTCCTAGTTGGAACGGTTCCACTGACCGGTTCGAACCGGTTTTGAAAACATTGGTTTATAAACTATTATTATGGTTCAAAAAAAAATCTATTATTGTTTTAGTTGTTTTAAGAATATTTACATATACTGAAAAACATTTATGAATTCATGTTATAAGATATAACACTTGAAAATAAGAACATAAAATATGCAGATGTTGAAATAGAATTCTAAATTGGTTTGCTATAGATCATATTACATCTAAGAACTATAGATAGTTTACAACCTTCCAACTTCCAAGGGCATCATTGTTATTGACATGTTTACATTTCCTCCACCTAAATTTTCCATAAACTTGTATACCAATTTCTTCCCCTTCCTAGGAAAATATAAAAGACAAAATTACAAAAATGGTCCCTGTGGTTTGCTAAAAGTCACAAAGTCAGTCCCTGCTAATTTTTTTGATGCAAATGGTCCTTGTGGTTTGCAAAAGTTGCACTGATGCCCTTTTTACTAACACCGTTAGTATTCAGCCGGTAGGGACTGAATCTGTAAGGTCATTTTTGTCTTTTCAAGTATAAAGGGACTAAATCCATGACATTTAGTAAACCACATGGACCATTTTTGAAATTTGTTTGAAAAAAAGACAATTACATGGCTAGGGGAGGGTTCAAACTCATGACCTCCATCTCCTACAACCAAAGCCTTAAACAATTGAGCTGCATGCTTTCTTGGTTTATTGTTTCCCAAAACTAATATATATATAATAATAGAATCGTTAAAAATAAACAATAAATAAATTACAAAAAACATTTATATATATATATATATATATATATATATATTAAAATAAAACAAACGTATTTTAGTTATATTATAAAAAAAATACTTTTATTACCAACAATTTGTATGTATTTTATGTATTTATTTCACGTAAAACATATTTTTTTGTATTTAAAAAATACGTTTTCTTAAAATATATTATTTTATGTCTTTGAAATAATAATAATAATTAACACTACTCATGACATAAAAAAATTGTATAAATTCTTTTGGATCGCAAGTTCTAAAACCGTTTTTTCGTTTATATGTATTAAAAACAACTTAACAACGATTTTGTTATGTATCTAAACAATTTATAAGATTTTTTATGTCAATAATAGTGTTAATAATTGTTATTTCAAAAAGATAGAACCGAATACGTATTTTAAAAAGAAAAAAACATAAAAAAGGGTTTTCAAAAAACCGATTGGATCAAACCAAAAAACATATTCGGCAGATTTTGTCTTTCAATACAACGTAATAACATATTTTACCAAACCAAAAAAACCTATTCGGTTATATATCTTATTTAAAATACGTTTTCAGTTATATGTATTTAAAAAACATAAAAAACATATTCGCTTATATATCTTATTTAAAATACGTATTTCATCCTAATCGCAAGTTCTAAATTGTATGTTTAAAATGAAGATAGAAAGACATAGTGATATATCTTTTTGAGATAACAATTATTAAAACTACTTTTGATATACAAAAAAACGTATAAATTGTTTAAATACATAACAAAATCGTTGTTAAGTTGTTTGTAATACATATAAACGAAAAAACGGTTTTAGAACTAGCGACCCAGAAGAATTTTTGTACAATTTTTTTATGTCATGAGTAGTGTTAATTATTATTATTATTTCAAAGACATAAAAAAAATATTTTAAGAAAACTTATTTTTTATACGAAAACGTATTTTTTAAAGACAAAAAAATATATTTTACGTAAAAAAAAATACATACAAATTGTTTGTAATAAAAGTATTTTTTTTTGTAATATAGCTAAAATACGATTGTTTTATTTTAAAAAATATATATATTTAAAAAAATGTTTTTTGTAATTTATTTATTGTTTATTTTTAACCATTCTATAATTATATAAATTAGTTTTGGGAAAGAATAAACCAAGAAAACATGCAGCTCAATTGGTTAAGACTTTGGTTTAAGGAGATGGAGGTCATGAGTTTGAACCCTCCCCGTTCATATAATTGTCTTTTTTTAAACAAATTTCAAAAATGGTCCCTGTGGTTTACTAAATGTCACGGATTCAGTCCCTTTATACTTGAAAAGACGAAAATACCCTTACAGATTCAGTCCCTAACGGCTGAATACTAACGGTGTTAGTAAAAAGGGTCATCAGTGCAACTTTTGCAAACCACAAGGACCATTTGGATCAAAAAAAATTAATAGGGACTGACTTTGTGACTTTTGGCAAACCATAGGGACCATTTTTGTAATTTTGTCAATAAAGAAAAATATGAAAATATAATTAAATAACTTAAAATCATCCGATTGGTTAATATTTAAAAACTCTAACAATAATTTAATTTAATTATTTATAATAAAATAACAATTAATGTTCTTTTCTGAAAAAACAAAAAAACTATTAACTTTTCCTTTTTAAATCCCAAAAAGACAAATATGTAGAACATTGATTTTTTTTTTTTGTTTGAACCCGGTTTCAAGTTGTACAAAACTAGATTCAGAACACATGGTCCGGACCGATCTATCCCTGGATTTTTTTTTTCGCAGGCAGTTTTAGTCTTTGAGACCATGTTGGATACGAAGTACAAACAAAACATTTTTTTTTTTGAAAAACGTATGATTATTTTTTTACAAAAAAAATATTATTGAAAAAACAAATAAGTATCAGTTTAATTTAAAATTAAGAAAACCCATTCTCACTATTATGAAAAAATAGATAGAATGAGATTCTTAAAATTTTCTAAATCAGGTGTTCCTTTTAGGATATTTGTGGCCACAATAAATTTTAAAAGGAATATTAATTACTAAAAGCAATTGTTACCATAACACCATAGGCAAAAAGTTGGACGCCATTGTTGCCGAGGGACGCCGCCGCCAGCTGAAGGTTACCAAGGTGGCCGCAGAAGATTTGGGTGGACATCGACGTCACGTTGTTCAGCAAGTAAACTATGATCGCCGGACCTGCTAGCCGGAATAAACTATACAGTTCGATAGCCATAGCCTTCTGGTGTCGCCGGAAAAAACTTAAACTCGTGTCAGATAGTATCTCCTCCAGCTCCGAGCTCACTGCTTCCCCCGGCGGCAGCTGAACCACCGGTGAGCTCCGGTGATTTGACAAGATGGGGTGGGTCAGCTCACCTTCTTGGGCGGAGCTTGAATCCATGGCTAAGGCTGAGCCCTGTCTAGAATCTGGTAAAATACTTTCACGGGAGCTCATGATTACAATATTGTCACCATTATATATTAGACAAAATTTCATAATTGGTCCCTGTGGTTTATATAATATTCCACTTTGAGGACTTCCTAGCAAAAAGTCACGCGACTGGTCCCTGTGGTTTGTAAAATTACATGAAAGGTCCACCTGCCGTTAAA